GGGCGGGGTTGGGGGTGTGGGTGTTGTGGCGGCAGGCACACATACTCAGGCAGACACCTTGCTGCACACAGGAGCCAAGGGGCTCAGCCTCTTTTCTCTCCTACGCCGCCCCCACCCCGTCCCACACAGGCCACCTCAAGCCTTTGACGCCTTCATCTGGTCACATACGCCCACTAACACCCAGACCTCACACAAACATGTCCCTTTAGCTGTCCGGCCCCCGCCCTTATCGCTCTCATCAAACCCATCTCTCTGAGACCTCCCTTTTCACTCAGCCTTCCAGGAAGCCCCTCACTCAGGTTAGCATTGGCAGGTTACTATTTTGGGGGGCTTTGGGAACTATTTGATGGCCACTTATTGGACATTCTAGAACCTTCATCTTCCTTTCAAATCATGGTTCTTAACCCTCCCCCCCCATCCTGTTTTGAGGGGAAGGGGTCAGCTCAGGGCTTCTTTTAATATTGAAAACGTATAGACTCCCCTTTAGAAAAGTGCACGTTTATTTATATGAAGTGTCACAGGCCCAATGACCCTGTAAAGTAGCTTCCAGCATCCTAAAGAAGAAGCTCAGGCCCTGGCCGGGCAGCTTAGTTGGTTGGAGCATTGTCCCAATTTGCCAAGGTTGTGAGGAGAACCCTGGTCTGTAGACGCAAGAAAGAGGAATGAAAAACGCTGCAAAGAGAATGAGGCCCAGCTCCCTTCCCAGCGGGCAGCGGGCAGCGGGCAGCTGGCAGCGCTGCCAGGGAGACCTGATTCGTGGCTGCTTGGAGCTGAGTGACCTGCCTCCCTGTGCTAACAGTTCCTGCGGGGTATGTCCAGAGGCTAACAATGGTGTGACCCATACAGCCCAGCCCCGAGCAAGGCTTTCTGGCTGCAGATAACACAACCACCATAAAGATAAGAAAACAAGCCAAGGCATATTTCTGGAAGCTTCTCAAGAAATCAGGAAAGCTGGTTCTGGGGAAGAAAGTCAGGTGAGGAAGGGGCAGAGAGGCTGTTTTTCACTGTAGGCCCTTTTGACAGTGACATGAATATATTTCCCACCCCAAAATATGTGAATTCAGTTAAAACTTAAAAACACAAATAAAGAAAAACATACATCCCCAGGCAAAGCTAGAAATCACGAACCCAGCTGGTAATAAGGGCCTCGGCCCACAGTGTGGCCCCAGGGGATGCGTTTCCGCCCTGAGTGT